TCTTTTGATCTTAAAATTCGAAGCCCTTTTCGAATCGAAGATTTAGGAATTTCGAATTCGATTCGAATCCATCAATCGATTTGATGAAGAATTCGTTTGAATTAATGAACCGATCAATCTCATCACTTCTAATTTAATAAAATCTTGTTCAACCCTTTGCTTCACTTCAATCACTTTTTCAATCCAAAGTTTAGGTTCAGAAATTAATCGAATCCCATTCAAATCTGTTTTGACACAAAAAAAAACACCAAATTGATTAATCTCTTTTTTTTGTTTCCCATTTGACTATAGATGTGACCTTTTTTTTCTCGTTTTCAATCAACCCCTATGACAAACTTAATGGTTTTGATTTCTTTCAGACCCAGAAAGTGTAACTTACAATTCCTTTTACAAACATGTCGTAAAAATCCCAATGATGATGCAATCAAAGGTTGAACTACATCATACTTAGAATCAAGACATTCAGTCACCAATTCAATCAACCCCGATTTTCCTAACTCTTCTTTATTCTCCTCTACAAAACCCAATTTCAAATCCAAATGTCAACAAATAAAAAAAACCAAATGAAGAGATAGAGAGAGAGAGAGAGAAAGGAAAAGATGACTAACCTGCTACAGCCAAATTTCTGGCTAAACCAATCAAAGAATGTAAAACTTGAACTTGTTCACCAGGTCTAATCGAATTGAGAATCGATGGGGTTTGATTTAAATCAGACCAAATTCGAATCAATTTAATCAAAGGTTGAAGTAATTGATAATGTTGAATAAGTTTAATTGACATTAAATCTATATCAAACCAAACCAAATCCAAACCATTCAAATTAGAAGATCGAAAGCAGGTGGGGATTGAAAAGAAAGAGAAAAGGTTGAAAAAATTTCAAAACACTGACCACTACAAGCCAAGTTTCCTAATAAGATTCCAATCGTCGTGATCAAATCTGGTCTATGTTCAATCACTTTATCTTCTGAAACCCATTGAATAAGTAAACTGATTAACCATCCCTCTTCTTGATCATTTTCACTTCCAATCACATTCATCAAAGTACGTGCAAGATTTGTTTTACATCGATTGAGAACATGACTTAGACTTTCCTCTTCTTCTTCTCTTCTTCTTCAATCGTTTTACTTAACCATTCATGGGGTAAATCAGTAAACCTGATGAAATATAAAAACCTTCCGATGATCGTCTTCGAAAGTTGAGTAGGTGGATTGATCAAGTCAGGTGAAAGGCTTTTGATGGGGTGTTGATTTGAAAATTGATTTGATTTGATCAAGCTTTGAATCGGTTTAGAGACTTCTGAAATCGATTCTAAAATCGATGTACTGATACTCAAACATTCCATCAAATTGGAAATTTCGATTCTGATTCAAGTTTAAGGAGTGAGAATTCAATTGATTGAATATAAAAGATTGGAAATAAGAGTCCTTGTAGAATCTCATCAGATATCATTTGTTTTGCTTCATCTATTCAATTCCCAAAACCAAAAAATCAAAACCAAAAATCAGATTAATCTTAACTTTGTTTTTTCTTTCTTGTCTCTTCTTTTTGGGAATGATGAATTTAACTTACCAGTAGAAGTTAATTCATCTAATAAACGAATAGCTAATAATGGAACTTTCAAACCCAATTTCTTCTTTAATCTAAACCCAAACCCAAACCCAAACCAAGAAAAAAAACGAAATCAGTTCATTTAATCCAAAATAATCATCATTATAGACTTGAATCAAACTTTCAAATTTCAAGTAAAAGACTCACTTCAAGAAAAGATGAAAGAGGTTTAATGAGTCCCACTTGAATATAATCAAAATGAGCAGGAACTAAAACCATCCTCATCCAAACAAAACAGAAAAGAGAACTTTAAGATTAGAGATCATGTAGAATATTAAGAAAGATCCCAAAAAAGAAAAAAGCAAGAGCTTACCATATTCAAAACATAAATTAAAAAGTACAGTCAGAATGATTTTAAGACAATGAGTTAAATTAAGTTGAGAGAGAATTGAAGTGGGTTTAAAAGAAGAGAAATGAAGTAAATCATTAAAGAGTTTAGAAGCATGGAAAGATAAAGCTTTAGATCTATTTTGATCTAATTTAAACAAAAAAAAGTAACCCATCAGAAAGAGAAAGAGAGAGTCAGTATCATGTGATCAAAAAAGAACCAAGTTTTTTTTTCTTTTCTTTTTTTTTTAAAAAAAAACTCTTCATTCAAGATGAATCAAATTGACCATGAGTATGAACTAAATTTCCAATCACTCTCATCAATTGTACGATCGCTTCAATGATCTGCTCATCCCCACTTCCACTTGATTTAAGTTTCAATTCATTCATCAAACTTTCCAAAATCTTTAAAGTATGTGGAATGATCAAAGTTTGACCCATCGAATCTCTTAAACTTACTATTTGAAAAAATTAAAAATTTTCAAATCGAATTAATCGTCGTAATGTTGGTAAAAAAATAAAAATTGATTTAGATTTTTTCCAAGAAAAAAGTGACTTACAATCTCTTAAATGATCAGCCATCTTTTTAGTTATCAAACTTAAGTTCATGATTTCTTTTAATTCAAGTTGATCTTGATTTGATCTTTCGATTCTGAGTTTAAGAAATTCGTTTAAATCATCTTGAAGTGGATTTTTCATTTCTTCATTTTCTATTTTATATCAAAGTGAATTCCAATAAGTTGAATGAACCTTTTGATGATGATGATGATGATGATGGATGATGGATGATGATGAATGAATGAATGAATGAATGAGATTGAATGAAAATTGAATGACCTTCTTGGTTGATTTGATTTGATTTCATCTTTTTCTTGTTTTTCTTGTTTTTTTGCTTTTCAATGGTCCAATCTCGATCGATCTTCATTCACTTTCCTTTCGATTGGGATTTGAAAAATGAAATCCAAATTCACAAACTACATTTTTGAAAACTGTTGCTCAAATGAAATGGTCAAAGCTTATCAAAACAACATTCGATTCAATTCAATTCATCTTCTACTTCAATCTCAATCCACTTCAGCTTTCTACATATTTCACATTCAAGTATGTCTTCAACTCTTCACTTTAAAAACTCCAGACTTACTTCAAACAAACCCACTCACTCTCAAAAATCAAACATCATCATCAAATACAAAGAAAAAGAAAAAAGATGAATTCAAAAAAAAAATACAAATCAAACCAAAGAAGAAAAAAAAGAGAACCCGATGAAGTTTCAAGAAACTCATTTTAAAGTGGTATGAGCACCTCTTAAAGAAAGATAAATTTGATCCACTCCAGGTCCCTAATGTAAAAAGCCAAATCAAAAGAGGAGACTCTTAAGTTTTTCAGATTGGTTTAGAAAAAGAAGAAGCGAAAGCGAAAGGAATCAACAAAAAAAGACAAAAAAAGAACTTACAAAGCTTTTGATCAATTCATAGACTTCTACATTATGATATCTTAAACTAGATTTAGGATCCACATAAGGAGCCTAAGAGCAAGACGAAATCAAAAAAAAACTTCATTCAATCAATCATCAATGATCAACCTCTTTCTTGAATTAAGAAAAAAAATTAACAAACAGAATTGATGTTTGTGTTTTTTTGATTTTCTTACTTACTTCTAATCCGGTGATATCACAATATTTCTTTAATGGAATCACCGAAGGTGGTGCTTCAATCGTCATATCTAATTGATAAAATAAATTTAAATGTTTCGATCACTTCAATCAATCAATCAATCAATCCATTTCTTCATTCATTCATTCAAAACCCTACCTAAACTTAGTTTCGAAAAATAAACCGCGCGCGGATTAAGAAAACTAAAAAAACTCACAAGGAAGAATAATTGACATTCGAAAGTACATTTCCCACATGAACCGGAACGTTTCTGAGTTTTTTGGAATTGGTTTCTTCGGGTAATCCAATTCGATTCTCTTCTTCCATCAATTCACTTTCTTCTTCTCCTATTCTTTGTGATGGGTTGGTTTGTGGTTGTTGTTGTTGTGGTGGTGGTGGCTGGTTGATTTGGTTTATTTAAATTTAAAGATAATTTAAATCGATATCTTTCAGCTGAAATGATTTGTTTAAACGTTTTGTTTCTTCTTTGATTTGCTTTTTTCGATTTCTCTTCTTTCTTAAACGGTTTTGAAATTAATGTATATGAAAGTTGATCGGTGATTGACTTTTGTTGAAAACATCATTCATTCATTCATTCATTCAATTAATCATCATCATGATTATTTTTAAACACACTTGAATCAGTTTTTTCAAATTCGGTTTGAATTCAACTGTGGTTTTGGGTCAATTTCTTAAGGAAGAAAGAAAGGGGAAAAAAAAAACAAAATCATTGATTTACTAAATTCGTCATCGGTTCTGTTACTGGTTTATGTTGACTTATAGTTCTTGTTGAACCTTTTGGTGGTGCCCTTAACCATCATGAAAAAAAAACAATCAAAAAACAATCAAAAATCAGATCAGATTCGAATTAGAAATGTGAATTTTGAAAAAAGAAGAAATGAAGAAGATTTACATTTGAAGGTATCAGTTGAAATGAAGTGTTTGGAAAAGTGAGATTCGATAAAGGTTGATGGATGATGAATGATGGTTGAGTTGGTTTGCAGTTGATTGAAGTATGTTTTCCTTAAGAGTTGAGTGTTGAAATTCAAATTTCAAGTAACTCTTCATCGATCGATTTCACTGTCTCGGTACATCTCGGTACTCTAAGATATCTTCAGATCTGTCAGCTTTGATTCATCAGTCACACTTCTCCTTACTTATCAAACATTCACTTTGTATCTATTCTCGACTAGATCACCATCTTTCCAAGGTTCACTACTCCCTTTCATCTTAATCATGATAGTCTCATAATATGCAATTAAGCCAAAAGTACTTCAAAAAACCATTCACTTGGATTGTGATCATAATGTATTTTTTTTCAAATCTAATCAATGATATCTTGAATAGAGCCCGAGACCTTGATTTGTTTGAAAGAATGTGGAGGTACATTTGTATCAGTCTGTGTCAGACATCGGCTGTCTGGCCCAATGGTTAAGGCGCTTGCCTACGATGCTCCGATAGCAAGAGACTCCAGGTTCGAGTCCTGGGATGGTCGAATTTTTTTTTTAGCTATTCGAGTCATGATAGCAGTTCACTCGGATCCACCCGGATTGATGATCTGGAAAGGTAAAAGGAGAGAGAGAGTTTGAAGGAAATTTAAATCAAAGAGGTCATAAAGCTGACTTTAAGCTTGATTAATCAAATTTAAGTTGAAAACATTTTCAACAAATCTGATCCAAAAATATATATATTGAATTTAACCTCGAGAATAGAAAACCAAAATGAAAACCAATTGAAATAAAACAACAAAGAAGTCACAAGAGGAATGAGGTTTTGATTTCAATCCCTGAAATAAAAACCTAACATCTCCTTGGTGATGATGATAAGAATGAAATTAGATTATTAAAGATCATTCGATTGATGAAAGAGTTCATTTAAAATTAAATCAATGGGGAAAAAACCCCCCAAAAAGAGAACTTAATCTTCATCTTCATCATCTTCAATGGTTTTTTTACTTGTTTTACCTTTTTTACCATTCGAAGCTAAAGCGGTTGATTTCTTAGTAGGTTTAGATCCTGAAATGGTCATATTGATACCAAGCTATATCCGAATTCAAAATTCAAAGAATCAGATGAGTTGAATTAGTTTAATTTTCAATCGATCTTGAGTTTTTCTGCATTTGTCATAAAAAGAAATTTTTGGAAAAAATCACACTCACTTGTGCTTGTACTTCTTTTTCTACTCCATTTACATTGATTTTGATCTTTAACCTTTTCAGATGTTTTCCAACCAAAACTACCAGTCTATATATTTTAAAAAAATGTGAACAATGAACGAAATGGATTTGATCAAGAGAAATTCAATGATGAGATTGATCTTTTTTTTTCGAAATTTAAACTAAACTGATCTTGATTTGTTTTTCTTTTTTTGATCAAAAACCGCAATGAAAGACTTACACTAAATTCAGAAGCTTTAGCCACAATCACTTGGTCTTCTCCATTATTATTCATAATGAATTTAATATCTTGATCAATTTCTAAAAACTCTTCTTTAGTAATCTCAGGTACGATCTAAATAGAAAAAGAAAAAAGATAGTAAGAAAAAGAATAAGTTCTTTAGATAGAGTATTTTGTTTCGAAGAAGAATTAGGTTTTTGGATTTACCTTTTGAAAAGTTGATTTAGATTTCTTTGAACTTTCTTCTTGGTTTGATTGATTTGATTTATCTTTAGTTCCAGTTACTTCAGAATTAGCCTATGAATAGAGAAAGTGATTCAAGATGAAGGTTTTCAGGCGTCTTATTAGATTTTAATCTTGGATTGGGTTTTTTGAAAAAGATCAGTTTAAGATTTGATTTACCTTTCGTTTGGGTGGCATGATGAAGTGGTTTAGTTAACTTTGACTTGGTCTTTTGGTTTGGGTTTGGTTTGATTTGATGAAAAATGAGAAAAATAGAAGGAAATTGATCAAAGGTTTTGGTTTTGGTAAATGGAAATCAGAAAACGATCGATCGATTTGATTTAATTCAATCCCTCGGTTCAAAATGTAGTTTGGTCCAAATCATTTGAAATTCAAAACTACAGTTTACCCAGAACCGTACATATGTACTTTTCATCATCATCATCATCATCATCTGATCCGCTCTGTCTCTTTAACTGCTCGAACAACAAATTCTGACTAAAATCAAATCCCATTCATCTGAAAACCAAAAGTCCAAATGCCCCACAAAACAATTGGAAATCAACCAAGCCAAGGCTAGACTTCATTGAGTCAGCAACACGGATCCAGCCTCCAATTTGGATTCAAGCTTGGTGTACCACTCCAAGCCAGAATCAGACTTATCTTCTACAACCAATGACCTGTCCAATCATGAAGGTTCAGCTTCAAGATCATCTTTGGATTGAGATTTGAGATCAGATGTGTATTCAAACATTGATTTGGATTGAAAATCAGATCTAGTTGAAGATTTGAATGCTCAGTCTTTTTTGGATTCCAATGCTCACTTAGATCATGACATGATTTCAGAAACTGAAACTGAAAATGTTGATTTGTTTCATGTCAAGCCATCTATTCAGATTGAATCCATTGAACATGGATAAAAGATGCTTCATAATGCTCTTGGAGATGCTTCAACCTATTCTAAGGCCCACAGGTCCTTGTGCCAACTTGCTGTAAAATTTTTTGATCTACTGGGGCTTATACACAAGTTAGATAATTGTTTCTACAAGCTCAACCTGACCAGCCCAAAGAGTTGTGCCTTGAAGGCATCTTTTAAACAGTCAAATTGTACTGGCTTTGACAAGGAGACCCACCAAAAGATCAGGAGTGTCATACGCCTTGTAGCAAAGATTTGGGCCAACACCACTCATATAATTTCACACCATCATCTCCCAATTAATGATCAAGTATTTTTTTCTCCACAACATTCAATTCTTGACAATGTCAAAGTTTTCAAATCCATAACTGATTGGAGTGCTGATCATCCAGTTGTACTCAGTAAGTTTTTCAATTACAATCATGAAACCTTGATGTGAATATCAACTTACTTGATTTTTTTTCTCTTTGATTTGCTTTTTTTTTGGGCTACACCTAACAAAACTTGCTCACTACATGAACACTTGAGATTCTCAAAAACTATCAAAAGACAATCTCAATACCAACAGCTGATGACTGGATGCATCAAATAGGATTCCATGTATTAGAGTACAAGAGGTGCCTATATTGTGATGGACATAAGCAAGCAGATGTTGTAATCTATCAAGAGAAGTCCATCAACAAGCTTCTTGAATTAAATAAATGGGAGAATTCCTATGAAGGTGTTGTAATGAACCAGAAGTTTGATGTAGAACTTGAAGACAGGGCTTGCAACATTTTCCATGTCTATCATGATTAATCAACAATCCATAATAATGAACAGCCTTGATCAGCGTGGATGCTCAATAATGACTGTCCACTTTGTACAACAAGTGTTGCAAAATTAATTCATATATCCAACTTTGTCTGTCTTTTAACTGGCCGGCTGATCCTACCAACCAATTCAAGTTCAACTCTTCCTTTCAAGGATGCTGCAGTCACCATTTATCCAGGTGCACAGGCCAATGTGTGGAGGGACTGTAACCAACTCATTGATCAGGTTGTGACTTGAGGAATTACAAGTTCCAATACCAACACCCCCAGCTCTCAAGCCTGCTTTATTTTTGTCTGCATAGCAGCACAAAAGTCCTTTGCTCTGGATTCACTTTGATTTTCCAAAATGAACTTCAAGACTGGAGGTGCAAATCCACCACTATAAAGCACCACCATACCTTCTGATGAATCAAAGATCCCGGTTGAACTTTGTGGAAAGATTCAAACAATGAACTTTCCATTTGATTATGTAGATAGGACTTCAATCAACCAGTCTGAAGGAGGAAATTTGATTGAGAAAGAAGATCTTGCAGAAAAGACAAAAGGAGTCAAGCAGATTCTCATCAAACCTGGCTTGTGGAATCATCACAACACAGTATGCACTTTAAGAGGTGAAAAAAAAGATAGTTTCACAGTTTGAAGACTATAAGAAGACCAGACATGTCAAGGGCAAAATTTCTTGAGCCAAGCGCCTCCTCAGAAACACCAAAATCCCTCTTGAGAAAGATCAACCAAGACCTAGTGAGACATTACCTGAGATCAACATTCCAGATTGTTGTGCATACAAAGCTTTAACAACACAGTTTGACTTTGGAAACCAAAAGCCATAGGGTCAGAAGTTGATCAAGGAAGCAGGCCATATCTGTAAGTTTCTTCCTAGATTCCATTTCAAATTCAACCTCATTAAGCTTCTCCGGTGTTACACCAAACCACATAAGTTTACTCTGTTTGCTGTTTTATCATCTCTTTTGACACTGGCCAATAGACATTTGTTTTGTTCCAGGCTACCAAGAACACAGCTTTGGATGTGCTAATCTTCAACAAGCAAAAGACGAGTTTGAAACAATCAGACAAGCATTCCCTCTGGTAACAATCCAACATTTCTTTTGCAAAATTGATGCAGCAATGAGGAATCTTTTGTAAGCAAGCCTAATCTCATCCTCATCTGTGTGTTTTTGCTTATTTTGATCAATATCATTGATTACTCATAGGCTCACTATGAAAGAGCATCCGGTCCCAACCCAAATGTCAAGTTATATATGTCTCACAGAACCGTTGCTCCCAACTATGAAACCAATGCCCACCTTGATGGATTAATTTTTCCTTTTCAATTATTGACGTATAACTCTAATGTCTATTATCATCAATGGAGAAGGCCTCAAAGCACCAGAAATTGTCAGTTTCATATTTTTTTGCTCATAGATTACATTGTAAGCCCTCAAATTGACTTGGAAATATCAATCTCTGAGAGCTGCCAATGTGAGGGTTCCAAATCTGTCCTTGTATTCCAATTTGTGTCAAATCTGTGTCACTGATAAGGTGTTTGGTCAAGATACCCAGTTTCATGGTTTTAGACACTAGCCACAATACTTGACTGGAAAAAAAAGGAGATTTTGCATTTGCATTTCATTTGTATTACTGTCCACCTGGGATAATTACAATATCTTTTTGCTTTACAAAACTTGAAAGAAACCGGGAAGATCAAAACCCTCTGTAAATTCAAGAATGATATAACACAAAAATTGGCAGATGACTGAAGATAGAAGTACATTCTGAAGTGTCCATGATTCATGTACTTTGATCTGTGAATAAACTTTAATCCATAGAACAGATATTAACAAAAATTGAAGTACAGATTGTGAAAAGGTTCAAGATTCATTAGAATATTAATATTAGCCACTCTGGAATTATATCTTCCAAATTTTGCCCAAGAATATCCATCATTATTGTCCTTGAGATATATCTATGACTGTCAGAAGATTGTCACAATCAGAGTCAATCTCCCGTTCTCATCAAAAAATGCTGAAAATGACTTACTTCACCTACTCTAAAGTATTACAGAAGCAATAGCATATACCAACACTGAGCTTGAGAATGCAGTGGTGAAAACAGCTTGGGTGCCTTGGATTCGAACTGAGACGGCAAATGA